CTATAGGATTAGAAGGAATCACGTGCACTAGCTAACTAATAGGTCTACTTGTCAAGTTAGGGGTCCCTTGACTGCTAACATGCTAAGCGAAGCATGCCAAGTGGCCCGTGAACCATGGTTCACGGGTGAGCTTCCCCAACTACTACTACTACTACTACTAGCTAGCTAAGGTCGATATGGATATACCGACATTTTTCAATCCCTTTTATCAAATCAAGCTGATTTGTATTTGCAATAATACCTTTTATCAAATCAAGCTGATAAGCGGCCATATTAAATAATATTATAAAAAAGCTAAACGTTAAAAGTAATTGTTTAAAATAAAATTAAAAATAATAAAATAAAAATATTAAGATTAAAAATAAACTCGTATATTCTATTTTTAAAACATCCTAGCGCGGCCGCTAATGAATTCACGAAATGATAAGGCAGCCGCAGCTAAGATAAAGCGGCCGCAGCTAAGATAAGGCGGCCGCCCCGCGCAATTTTTACTTTACAAAGTAAAGTCTAATTCTTTTCTACTATTACTTAATAATCAATTATAACTATCGCTTTCCTATTTGCTACGCCTTTAAATACAACGCTATTCATTGCTTTATAAGGTCGTCTCTTTCTTATTTAAAATTATCAACTTATTGATCGTAAACTAGATTATCGCGATCAAGTCCTTTTATTAATACTTTTAAATAGCCTTTTTATTAAACGAACCTTTGCTTTCGAACCGACTTCCTTTTACCGATATATCAAGCATTACGGCTAAAAGAGATAACGCAAGCCAAGATAAATTAATTAATAAAGCAATTAAAAATCAAGCGATTAAAGGTTAAGCGGCTAAAGGTCAAGCGGCTAAAGGTCAGGCGGCTGAAGGTTAAGCGGCTAAGAGTCAAGCAGATAAGGACGAAGCATAAGAAAGTAAAGCAAATATAATACGCGGCGAAAGCGTAAAAAAAGAAAACTTAAATTTGCAAGGTAAATAAAATAAGTTTATATTTAATTAATCGGAGTACTACTAATACTTTTTCAATTACTTTGCTTAGCGCAAATCCTTATCTTTAATCTAGCAAAGCTCAATTAGCTACGAATGCGCCAGACCTTACTTTTGCTAAGCGCCGCGCTATTATAACTTAATAGCTATTCGATTAATATTTGATTAGTAAATTGATTAATAAATCAATTGCAAATAGCTGATAAGCATTTACAAAAATTCTTAACCCTACTTTTATTAAGCGCCGCGCTATTACAATTCGATAGCTATCCGGTTAGTATTTAATTAGTAAATTAATTAATAAATCAATTGCAAATAGCTAATAAGCATTTACAGAAATTCTTAAAACCCCGCGCGGTATTGCAAATCCATAATAAAGAACCGATTTATCTTCGTCCCTTTTTCGCCGAATTTCTTAAAGTCAAGCTAATAAGTATTAATTATTTTATTAATTAATAATTGCTAATTTCTATCATTTTAAGTGACGCTCTTTAAACACCAACAAACTCTCGCGCAAATATAAACTAGCACTTATCATCTCTTAAACCTCGATCCGGTAATATTTTTAACTTATAATTAATAAATATTTATTAATCAAATTTTTCTTTAGCAAACGCAATTAGATTTACTTCGGCTATTCAATCCGAAATAAACAAAAGCATCGTTCTTAATAATACTAGCATAAATACCAATAGCTTTTAATAAGTTTAATCTTTTTAAACCTTTTTCTTTCGTTCGCTAATTATTTTAAAACTGCTTTAAAAGCAATATAATAATCGACGAGCTAAGCGAATGCATCAGCTCAGCTTTAAAACGAAGATCCGTCTTACGACTTAAGTGCTAAAAACAATTCTTTTGCAGCTGCTAAACCTTTTTTTGCTTTTACTAGCAATCGCATTAAAAAAGCTTTCGTACAAAAAGCTCTTAAAAGGTCTCTTATTATCCCGAGCCCAATTATAGCTATAAAAACCGCGACGAAGACGATACTTTATAGTGATACAAATAAAAAAGAGCAAAGCGATAATAAAGAAAACTCAAGTGAAAATAATATTCTTTTCTTTTAATATAAAAAAGCTAAAAAATCACTCTCGACGGCTAAAGCTGCTCGCTCCGTTCTATCAGCTAGCAAATCACTTTCGGCAGCTAAAACTTCTTTTCGTTAAAAATCTAAAAAAAGCAAGTATTTTAAGAAGTCTGCAATTATTGCGAAAAAAGGAAGTCTAAGCTAACGAAAGCGCTATCGTTACAAGCCAAAAAGTAAGTTCAATCAATTAATAAATTGATTCTCAAATACAATTACTAATTTATATAGCTATTGCGTTAAAAGAAATCCGACGATATCAAAAAAGCATCGAGCTTCTTATTAAAAAGACTCCTTTCTAGCGTTTTGTTCGAAAGATCACTTACGATTTTAAACAAAACTTTAAATTTCAAAGCGATGCTTTAGAATATTTATAAAAAGCTTTAGAAGCATTCCTTGTAAAAGAATTTAAAAGTAAGTACTTATATATTTATTTACTAATCGATTTATTAATCGATTTACTAATCGATTTACTAATCACTTTTAATAACGAACTTATATGCTATTTACGTTAAACGAGTAACGATTCAAAACAAGAATATAGCGTTAGTTAAGAAATTGCGGGAAATCATAACTAGAAGTTTTGTTTAATAATTTTAGTTTATTATAATATAATACAATGTAATTGTAAAGTATAACATATATAATTAATAAATATAATAAATAAATATAATAATTAAGTAAAATTAGTAAATATTCGTAAATTTGTTTTATTTTTAGCGGCCTCACATATATTATTTTTAGCTATCCTACTTTAAACCCATAGGGTTTCCTTATCCCCCGTAAGGAATTTGATTTAAAAAAATCCTCTCTATAAGGTTTAAAAAAAAAAGTCCCCCATCGGCCAAGACCTTATAGGGGGAATGGGGAGGAAAACCCCATGGGGCCCCCACCCCATGGAGCAGCCTAGCCTTTATTAAATTTCGTCGGTAAATACAAAAAGATATTATAAGTTGAAAGAGCTAAAAGAAGACGAAGCTTTGCTAAATGAAACATTTGCCGGCAGTCGATTAAAGAAGTTTTACGTACGATACACTTTCGAAGCGACACTACTTCGCCTTAAGCTTCAAATAAAGAAATCCTTAAAACAGCTCTTACTAGAAGAAGTGGCCGAGTCCGGCCCTTAAATCAAGCGCTTAAATAGATTTATCATTCGATTACTTAGCCTTACGAAAGAGCAACGGAGCCAATACGCAAAAGTCTTTATGAGCAGTAATAAAGAGAGTAATTGAGTTATAAAAGCATGACTATACGTGAAAAAGAGACGAGTTTAAATTTGATTTTTAATTTTTTTTTCTTTATTTGAGTTTAGTTTTCCTTGTTTTCCTTCTTCTTATACTTTCTTTATTTCCTTCTTTGTATTAAAGAGCTTTACGTCATCATACCTATATGCTCCCGATCTATTATATACGAGCATGTTATATATACAAAGCGGACCCTACTCGAAGGCTGATCAAGAAGAGCATACGAAAAATCTATTGTATTAATTACTTAGCAAGCTGCCGACACGCGATAAAAACCTTTCCGACCTTATAACTTAAAGCTAAGTGGAATAGTACGAAAGCTTTCCGCAGCACCTTAAGCATTGCTTTCACTTTTCGAAGTCTTACCGATATTGCTACGACTCGAACCCTTCGTAAAACCATAAGTATTGCTACGGCTAGAACTTCGCGAAAAAGAACCACCGGTATTACCGCGATTAAAAGCTTAGCGGGCATTTCAGCGGAGCCTTTTCGCAATAAAAGGTGCTAGCGATTTTAAAAATAAAAATGAAAGAGACGAGGACTTTTTAGCAATCTATTATAATCAGATCGGAAAAGAATTATAAAAGGTTCGCAACATACACTTACGCAATTAAAAAAGTTACTTAGCAAAGTATTATTTCGATCTATTATAGCTAAGATCTAACGCAGCAAGTTTAATAAAGCTAAATCAGCGATAGCAGCGGCGGCAAGTAAGCGTAACGCCGGGACGAGACTTAAGCTAGCTAAAAGACCTTTAGCATTAGCGGCGGCAAGAAAAGCAGCGGCGATACGAGCTCGAAAAAAAGAAAAAGCATCATTAACTCGAAAAGCGAAAGCACGGCGAGTCTTTATAAAAAGGTTATTTGCAATTATATTTTTACGAAAAACATCGTCGGCCGTTTTAGTTCTATTATCTATAGCCGTCATCGTATCTATCAAAACTATATTAATACTAACGACTTTTACGAAAAGCTATCGAATCGGAGTTAAAACGAGTATAAAACGGAAAGTAAGATAACTTACGAAGATGCAAGTCGATTTAATAGCACGGCAACGCTCGCATTTAATAAAAGTATCGAAAGAGAAGATACACCGACTCGTAGCATTATCGATAGTTCGGCTTGCGTAGCTTACGCACCGAAAGCAAATCGAGAACATAATGTTTAAAAGAGGTTAATAGATAATAGATGCTAAAAGGAAGATAAAAGAGTATAAAGTTAATATAAAAAGAGGGTTGATTGTTTATAGCAAGAATTCGAGTATATATTGCCGCTTTTGTTTTCTTTATTACGTTATCGCTTTAAGCTTCGCGCTACCACCGATTCGGCAGTACGTCACTACTTAACCACTTAAACCGGCGCACGCTTGTCTTAATAATAATACTAACGCTCGAATTGATATTGTTCTTATAGTTAAATAAGAGTGCTATAAAAGATATAAAAAGGAGTTAGACCCGAAGGATTATCTTGCATTTTCGTTGCTATTCTTATCTTCTTTATTATATTATATACGCCTTATACTAATACCGATTCGGCGATGCATTATTAAGTAATACTTTAAGACCGTATTGCGACTATGCAATTCGGCTATATACTCGTCTTGCAAACCCAACCCTACCACTTTAATAAGAGGTGACTCGAAAGCGAGTCTAATTCGAAGAAGGGACGTATGTAATAGAGTTAAGGCTTTGTATTTGTTTTGTCTATGTATATAATACTAATGCTAAGCACCTTTGTTACGTGGATGCGCTGCATGCTCTGGCCCTGCTAAGCACGTGGTTAGGTCACGTGCAGGCTTTTATATAGA